ATGGTTTCCCCTGCTCCTGCATGGACTCTCCGCAGGCTGCAGCCCTTCAGGACAAACCTGGTGTGGTCCTCATCACAAGCTGCAGGGAAATTCCTGCTCCACGGTGGTCTTTCCAGGGGCTGTAGGGGAATCTCTGCTCCAGTGCCTGGAGTGCCTCTTCTCTTTCCTTCTCCTCTGACCTCGGTGCTTGCTGGGTTGCTTCTCATGCTTTTTTTAACCTTCTGCAATACACACATGAGGGCACAATTTGAAATGTCTATCCTGTAGATGTGTGAGGAGAATACCTTGATGGGATCTAATGGTATAGACCCTGGACAACCTTCCCAGGGGAGATGTGTCTGCTGAGTCTGTCCTGGCTCTTGATCTGGAGGCTACAGAACGTGACAAATGCTATAATCTGTTCTGCTCCATACCCACAGGAGTAAACATAGCCAATTCAGCATACTGTGGTGGTTAATAGTTTCCACTTCAGGAAATATTGATCTAAATCTTGCTAATATCAAGATTTGCAATGGTACCTGTCCAGGGGTAGGTAAAGTGGATATTTGCTGTAGTGAAGTAGTTTTCAAAGCCAGATGCTGGTGGTCTGTGGTGTCAGGAGGCCCTAAAGGCAGACGAGTTCTGTACACCTTCCTCCTGTGCTTTTGCTGTTGTGTTTTTCTTACTTTGCTCAAACCCTCCACCGGTTTTGTGTTAGTGTTTCCATTTTTACTTATCCTTCTTCCCCTCCTGAGTCCTTTCTCGCTCACTTTGAGCGTGTCTGTATGTTTTCTTGCTTATGGAAGGCACCGAGACATTTCAGTTCTACATGGAAGCTTTGTCACCTCCATAAGGCGTAGCAAAAGTGCCTGCAGGCTGCTGAAGGAAGCAGCAGGGTGGACGGGTCAGCAAACTGTGCTCCTGGTGACTGTGCAGTTTACCCCCTCCTAGGAGTGACCCCATCCAGCTCACTCACATTCGTTCAGGCTTTCTCATCATGCCTTATAAGTGCCACTGACACCACTAGCGTCAGAGCCAGGGAAGGATGAATGTCCCCAACAGGTCCTCTTCCTTATAAGCCTTGCAGCACACAATTTGCGGAAATACATCCCATTTCCTGGAAATTCCATGTCATGTAAAAGGAACACGGTCTGCGTGTGTGTGCATGTGAGTACGTGGCTGACAAATGCAAGTAAAAAGACTTGGATCGTGGGCCCTTAGACAGGAGTGTTTGTGCTGACTGGGGCCAGTTTGACCCAGTTTGACTGATTTATGCTGGTGCAGAATTTAGTCTGTGTTCCTCTGGGTTAGAGCATCCCTGAGATGTGTTTATCCTTGTGCTACAGTGTCTCATGCAGACTTTGTTATTGTTCAGTGGAGGTTTTTGTGAGAAATTATGTGCTGTATTTGGGTTTCCATAAGGCACGTATTACTTTATACAGGATTCTGTCATAATTGGGGTATCTGTGTGTGTACGAAAAAGGAGAAAAGGAAGATCTCAGTGCTTACAGATGTATCCTGCCTATATGAGGTTCCTTTTTTTAGGTCATTTTTACTAACACCATCAGATATGGAATACTGTCCTCTTTGTCCCCAACTCATTCTTCAGTGATTCCCTCTTCCCCTGCAGGACGCATACATCCAAGATGTTTTGTTTTCAGCCTAAACTCTTGGCAACTTGTAATTAAAGTAGGAATTTTAATCCACTATAAAGAGAGCTAATGGATGTATAATTAACTAATGACAGTCCCACCGACTAGGCCAGGCAAAGTGAAAGCCATAAAAATTTGGAGCGGATGAGTTGGAAGTTCACAGCTGCTCTGCAGTGGATGGAAAAGGCAGTTCTGCCAGGGGGAGTAAAGTTGAGGAGATGGCTTGAGAGCTCGGGAGAGGACAATGGACCTTGAAGTGTTGGGAAAGGAGTAGAAGGGGAGAGCTGGAGGAAGACAAGTGAATTTCTTTCCCCATCGTTTCCACCACCTGAAACATGGCATTGAACCTCCTTCCTTCCCCTCTACTCTGCCCTGGTCAGGCCTTACCTGGAGTACTGGGTCCAGTTCTGGACCCATGGTACAAAAAAGACAGGGATCTCCTGGAAAGAGTCCAGTGGAGGGCCACAAACATGATATGGGGACTGGAGCACCTTCCCTATGAGGAATAACTGAGAGACCTGGGTCTGTTCAGCCTTGAGAAGAGAAGACTGAGAGGGGATCTATCAATGTTTACAAATACCTTAAGCATGGGAGACAGAGGGATTTGGCCAACCTCCTTTCAGTGGTTTGTGGGGACAGGACAAGGAGTAATGGTCACAAGATAGAACACGGGAAGATCCGCACCAACATGTGAAAGAACTGCTACACGGTGAGGGTCACAGAGCACTGGGACAGGCTGCCCAGGGAGGTTGTGGAGTCTCCTTCTCTGGAGATATTCAAGGCCCGTCTGGATGCCTACCTGGGCAGCCTGCTCTAGGGAACCTGCTTTGGCAGGGGGGCTGGACCCGATGAGCTCTGGAGATCCCTTCCAACCCCTTCAATTCTGTGATTCTGTGTTTCCCTGGCCCAGTTTCTCTCCCCACTGGCTGGGGCTATCCCTCTCCATGACCATTAACTCTTCTCCCTGCGTGCTTTCCTTGGCACTGGCAGCACAAGTAGCTGTTCTGGTGGGCAGAAGCAGAGACCAGTTGGTTGGGTTGCTCCAGGAAAAGGAGCAGGCCGATGCACCCTCTCCCTCTTTAATGGACAGGTTATCAGGTACTAACAGGGTGGCTTTACCTGCGCCTGACCTGGAGAAGTGCTTATGGACAAGCCAGCTCCTCAGGGGGCATGGAGAGAGCACTGCTTGTGGTAGCCATGGTGCCTCACCTGTGTGCTGTGCCCACGGCTGTGGTCACTGGCTGCTTTTTTTTTTTTTTGCTGAACCCCACTGGGGTGAACGAGGTTGTGGTGAGGTGAGGCAGCCTGGCCTGCACTGGGGGCAGGATTCTCTGGTCGGCCAGGTTCGTGTGGTGCTGTCTGCTGGGTGCACTGCTCGTGGAGCTGAGTAGCTTACCCGTACGGATGCAGCTGATGTTGAAAAGCATACCTGAGTAAACGCGTTATAATCCTGCTAAATATTGAGATCATGTCTAGCATGTTCTAAATAACAGGTAGTTCTTGATCTGCCGCAGCGTTTCCAGTGACTCACTCCCTTTTTCCCCCTGTTGCAGTAATTACAGAAGAGTGTTGCAGTTTCTGACTCAGAGGGAGGCTTCGCTCCAAGGCTCCTGGCCATGCAGGCGGCCCAGCTCAGCAGCCGTATGGGGCGAGATGTGGGGGTCTGCATGGCAGCCGGCGGGGACTGAGCCAAGAATAATGCAAGCGTGGCATATGTTTTGAACAAGAGATAGCAAGCCATTAACAGCAGAATTTGCTTTGGGTTAGCTGCAAGAAAGTTGGTTGCCAGAATCTTGGCTATGACTTTTGTGTCTCTCAGACTGGATGCTTAAAGGAAAGACATGCAAAGGGACAGGTGACAGGTCTTGATCCCCTGCAGTTTTCACAGTCCTGTAGCCTCCATTTGTAATGAGGCCTTTTAGATTTAGACGTGCTGTGCTCTCGCTTTGTGCTGGTGCAAGTGGCCGTGTGCAGCTGGCCACTGTGTCTCTCCTTAAAAGAAATGTGTGGGAAGGTCCTCTTGGCATCAGCAAAGTATATTCAGAAGCAAGTCTGGAATTCAGGCCATGTTTCTTGGAGATGGCGATAGATTTTCCTGTGCCCTAAATACTGCACCAAAACCCACTGTCTATTTTGAGGTGAACAAAATCTGCAAACTTGCTTACTGTTATTTCAGTTTAAGCATGAGATCATTTTCTTTAATTTCTCTTTCAGTGTAAGTGGGTAAGAATGGGGATCTTGATTTTTTTTAATGGTTATGGTGCAGTATTTTCAAATGCTTAGGTCAGAGAACATTATATATATGAGCATGGTATCTCCATGTATAATGGAATCAGATTCCAATCCATTGCTCCTTCTCAAGGGATAAACATTTCTTCACCAAGCACTGGTGTGACACAATGTGTGGTAGAAACATGACTATTTTGAGTATCCCTATGTCAAAGTGCTAGTGCACTTAGTTTACAGTTCACAAACCTCATTTATATGCCTAAGAGCCCTGTGAGGTAGATTGAAGAGTTGGATGCCAGGGAGCGGGATACCAAAAACCCACAGACCTGAGCAGGCAGCTGTCCACCATAGTCAAGGAAATTCAGAAAGAGAACTATCCATGAAGCACTCTTACTCCTTTGGGTTTAAGTTTCAGCCCTGTATCACATAGGACATGCAATGTGAAAGGCTTTCCTGGGTTTAGATGCCTTTGCTACCCGTCTTGGTAGGGACAGCTAGCTCACTGTCTCAGTGACAACTCAAAGAGAAGGTGCAGTTCATGGTACCTGCCACTTATATTAGAGGCTAAATGTTTGAAGTGCTCGCCTATGGAGTGGGAGTCTGTACCTGCAGTCATCTTGCACTGCCCAGGAGAGCCCCCAGGTCAAATGGAAGGTGGGAATGGAGCTGAAACTGTGTGGGTGCATCAATGACCGCAGGATTCACAGGGATGGGAGGGGTATGGCTCTGAAACTCCTTTGAGGGAGCAAAGAATTCATTGTCCCAAGTCAGATCCCTGCTCCTAGGACTTTGGTGAGGGCTTTGATTGGTGTTGCATACAACATAGATAATATCTCATCTATGTGATTTTTATTATTTTTTTTTAATTTGATGATAAGTGGCCTGACTGACGTGTTTCATGCCAATAAGGTAAATATTCACTGAGAATGCAATCCAGTTCAGGCCTTTTGGGAAGCTGAGCTCTCAAGCATCTTCTTGGTAAATTTTGAACATCCTGAAGCGTGAGACTGGCACTGAGATGCTGAAGTGGTACATTTGGGTGTGCAGGGGCTTTTATGGATCCGAGCTGTAAATTCTTAGATCAGGGAGAAGTGAATATGTGGCCTGTGGGATATTTCAGCTGTTGATTTCTCTTTTCAGGCAGAGTGGACAGTTGGGAAGAGGATGGGCTCTGCTGGGAAGGCTTGCCCCCTCACCATGACAGCTGACAAGTCAGGAGCTGGAGACTTGGCTCTGGAGCCGCTGCTCACTTGCAAGCTATGTCTCTGTGAATATTCCCTGGATAAGATGACCACTCTTCAGGAATGCAGCTGCATCTTTTGTACATCGGTAAGATCTAGCAGCACCTTTAGGTTACAGAGCAGAGTAATGGGGGATAGACAGAGCTGTGAGACAGGGTTGCTTGGGATTGCTTGAAGGATATCCACATTGATATAGGATGCTTTCCTAAAGAATATTTGATATTAGTCTATCTTGCCTTATCTAGAGACTTATCTGCCATTCGGTTTTTGATAATGTGTAACTCTAAGAGATATTTACATAGCAAATAATAATAAATTCTAGTATTAAATGGGGAAAATATGCATTTTAAGACTGTTAGAGAACATATGCTGTCTATATACAGTCTCAGCGTTTATTTTTTCTTAAGCGATATCTTGAAATGTCATAGAATGACTGTGAGATTTTGTTAGGTTTTGTTTCCCTGTTATTTTCTGAGTAGTTAGAGGCCTATTTTTTTTTTTTTTTAAGTCTTGTATGTATTTTTCAAAGGCAACCAGAAAACCTAAACAAAAATTAACCTTGGCCTATTGAACCTTTGTCTCTGCAGTCTACGCTGCAGAGAAATTGCCCAGGTCATGCATTGCCTATAGTTGTCAGTGAGGACTTTCTATCCTGCAAATTCAGATCAAATAAAGCTGATGGAAGTGATAAAGGCTGAGGTTGAGTGAGCTCATGAAAGCCCTACAGATATTAGTGCTCTTCTGGTTTCTTTGTCAGAATGGGAAAATGAATCCAGACTCTCTGGCAATAGTGACTGATGTACTTGACTAACAGATATTGGAAGTAGGTCAGAAGCCATTGTACAGAGGGTTTTTGTTTTGTTTTGCTTTTTTAAAAAATCCAGAATAAACATTATATATATATATGTTTTTTTAACAACTTGTGGATGAGCATCAAAGAAGTACTTCTAAAGTTTTGTGCTTGATTGTTTGAACTCATGGAAAAAATGAGATATTTGTCAAGCCTGCTTGAGTCAGAGTATCTTCATTTAGACTGAGTTAAGGGCAGCATAAGAGGGACAAGAATGTAGTTACGTGTTTCAAGAAAGTAGTGTAAGATTGGTTAATGTGCATTTTCAACCTGAACTTCATGCAGTGTCTTTTCCTTGATGACTTCCACAAAACATTTCCACTCTTTAGTTTGTAACATAGGTTTTAAGAGAACGTGCCTAACAGGTAGATATGAAGGAGGATACAACTTCAGATTTTAAAATTTGGAAATGTGGATACATTTAAAGTGGTCCCACTCTTCTCCAAGAATTCAATGACTGATTTAGTATCATTCATAGCACATGACTCTGACTTCAGTGTTAGCTGGGCAGAGTAATTCCTTTCCCCCTGGGGAAGGGAGGACTGCTGAGGACTGTGCCAGGCAGAGCTGTGCTCTCCAATCTGCCAGGGCCCGTGGCTAAAGGGAGATGTCAGCGATGTCTGTGTGTGGTTGTGGTCCTATGTACGGCCCTTACCTGGCCAGCAGCATCATGAGCATCTGCTCTGAGCTTGGCTCTCTAGTGCCACTGCAATAGATTGGGAAGTGCAGTCACAGGTGCTTTGCATCTGTGCATCTTTGCTGCCTTTGTCTAAGGCTAGAGCCAGCCTTGGGTGAGTACTGAACGCAGCTGGGAGAAGTCTTTCAACAAGCTCTATTTATCTCAGTGTGCCTAATATGCCTTGGTTGTGCTTATGCTCTGTGTCTACCCTTTGGCTGTTGTTGCCTGCTTACCTCTGTCTTTCACGGTCACTTCTCACTTGTCCTGCAAGCACCTTGCCTGGCTGTGCTATCAGGGGCAGGTAAGGAACAGCTCCTTTCTCACCAGGCTGTCTGTGAGGAGAGGCTGCCATCTCCTTATTTCTGCGGCTGCCAGTGTGAAAGGTTGGACAGGGGCTGAGTCACTGCCTGCAGAGTGCTCTGCACTTTCCTGCTCCCTTTCCTGTTGCTCACCACGTGTGTTGAGATGGAAACAAATACGAGCAGGGCTGGCAGCAGCACAGCTTTCTACACGTCTTTGCTCCCTGTGGTCCCTCTGTGCCCACGACGAAGCTCAGTTCTACCTACTGCTGCTGTGGCGTGGGCTCAGGAAGGCTCCTCTGGAGATCAAGGGTCTCAAAAAGCACTGAGACGTTTTGTGGTGGTTATAAAGAGAAAGGGAGTTATAAGGCACTACTTTTAAAGGTGAGATATGTAACAGAGGAAGGTTGATTGGTACCTGTAGCACAGATCTGAATGGTAATCTGTGTCTGAGCACCCTCCCAATATGCTTCTGTGCTGATGCATCACAAACATGGATCTTGCATCCTGTAACAAAGAGGGCTCTGCAAACTTTTAACCCTGCCTAAATGCTTTTCCATCTCGAACCCAGAGCAGTTTCTGGGAAGCTAAGTTGCACCGATCCCTTTAGGCAGCCTCCAAAGAGCAGTGGCAGAAGCACCTCACCACAGAGTGCCTCGGATGCCAGGGCTTGCACTGGGCATTGCTCAGGGCAGAACCTGCAGTTAGCTGCTCTGGTATGCAACACCATAACTTTCCTCCCACCCATGATAAGGCTCTTAGATACCTTCATGCTGCCTTTAAGACAGAGATTGCAGTGAGAATGTCAACCTTGAGCTACTGGGATCAAGCCCATATTAGTTTTTGAGCTAGCAATGCTTTCAGCTTGCATAGCTTATTCTTATCTTTTATCACTAAGGTTAATTCTATAGATTCAAGAGCAGTATTACATTTGAAATTTAATAGAAAAGGACTTGACATGGGCATAGTGTATTCTAAGTTGAAGCCACTGATTTGGCTAACTTTTTGTTCTATTACATGTGTGAGGCCTTTTTATATGACAGCTATAATGATGCTTCTCTGTCTGTGACTCTTTTTTACTACAGCATTTTTAGCTGTGGAAATAACTGGAAATTGTTACTGTCTAGGCATGTGCAGGGGGAGATCATACCTCCTTTTCATTCAGATTGTATACAGCTGTGTTTTCAGCTTAGATACTCACCTTATATATCTCCTAAAAGCTGCATTCTAACCAAAGTAAGTAATCTCTGTTTAAGAAGGTGTATGCTTGAATTTTGGTGGAAAGTTGCTGTTAAGGCAGGAGCTTTTCAACTACCTATAAACAGTTTTACTCTGTCTATTCAGAGAAGGAATAGCAGATGGCTTTCTGGAGCACACTTGATGTCTTATTTGGTAGCCCAGTCAGGTCTGAAGAGTCATCAACCTTGTATTTCTCCACATTTGTTGCGGTTGGCATAAGACTCCACTGAGATGCGAGATGAAGCACACATTTACACATCCCAAGAATTTGGAAATGGCTGTAATGCACATCATGGCGTGGGTTAGCTGTGTTTGGTTTATATTAGTTTCGAATGAAAGACTGATCTCTGAAGGGGGCTGGGCAGGGAAATGGTGAGGTATATTTTCTCTGCAAAACTTGTTGACTGCACTTTATGTTACTCTGGTCATTGACTATATCCATAAAACCTTTGCAGTGATGTACAGTATTGTAAATGAAAATATGTATAGATATTCAACAATATATGTGTTGCTTGTACCACACGGTTTTATGCTACTTGTCCCATTCAGAAAAGGGGGTGTAGGGAGTGTCTTGTCTGTTCCCCATGCTGTTTATCTTGTTTTTTTCATCTCTCCAGTCATCATTCACACATATTTGGCAGGATGTCCTTCTTATCTGCAGTACCTTGTGCTTGCTTTGTCTTGCAACCTCTTTGTCCTTGGATGGCACACACGTGCATTTACACAGGTCTTTGCCCCTTTGGTGGTCACACTGCTCATATATATATATATAAAATGATTATATTCCATGTCTGGCTAAGCCATCAGAGTGTTAAGAAATATGGTATTTTAGTGCACTTCTCTCTGGGTCCAAAGCAAACTAATATTTATTATACCCTGAGTAATACACTTACAAAATTTTATTTTGCCTCACTTGGGCAAACATCAGGAGTGCTCTGCTGGGTTACTTACTGTTAACAACATTGCTGTTAAGGAGAACATGGTTTGGGGGTCCTTTAAATGTGTGAGCATGCTGGTATCGGCTTTTTCCCCCACACCAGTTCTGTTTTGGTTTTGCCTTTGCTCTTTTTTCCCCCTCTTTCTGGGCATTTCAGGTCCCTGACATGAGCCAGGTGAGCAATCACTCACTATAGCGTCGCTGCTATTTACGTCAAGCAGCAGCTTATATCCATCTTGTGTGTTGTTTACTGGAATAGGGTTTGAGATGCAAAAAACAACATACAACAAAGTCTGAACACAAAAGATACTTCTATGTCTTTGCTCCTGTGTTGTCAGCACATGTTTATGCAGGACCAGCATGAATCACCCTTCTCTTTTTTTTTCCAAGCAAATTCTTTGTTAGGTCTTGTGTTTCTGAGAAGCATGTGAGGTAACTGAGTTACAAAACATACAAAACAAATACCGTGATGATCACCTGTTTGTTATTTTGGTCCACAGAACCCAGTCTAAGTGAGATTAAACTTCCTGCAACCTTAAAAGGAGAAGTCAACGTGCAACGTTGAATGGGAGCACAGGTAGCTTCTGCCTTGAGTATTCTACAAGTAGAAGGTGATCCCCTGGTGTTTGGGAGAACAAGATTTTCTGCTCTAGCTGTGTGTGACAGCAAGGCCAGGGCTGTAGGCATGGGCTAAAAAGGCTTTTTTCCTGCTGTTGACAGCCTGGTGCCCTGGGCAGCTCTTGCCTGCCTAGGTGAGGAAGCCGCAGCCTGTGAAAGAGGAGCTTGCGTGCTGCTGCCAGCTATTTTTGCTAGAGGGGAAGGGAAAACCCTTCCACAGAAACAGGAGTTTCTGTTGTGCTTGGCCAGCAAGACGCTCTAAGGCTCCTCTGCTTTCCTTGTGCCTTTCAGGAGCAGCTGTGCGCTGCCCTACTTCCTTCTTCGGGTGGCCAAATATTGACATTTTGTCCTTAGTACTGTGCAGTCTTTGGCTGCTTGTGCAGGGGAGAGTTGGAGAACTGCAGACAAACTGATGTGAAGGATCAGCATCAGCAAAAAGCATTTGAAGGAAAGCCGCAGAGCAGAG